TTTTAAAAATCAATTCTCAAGAATGAATCCTGATGAAAAAGAGACAGAGCAGACCCCTAAGAATGATTTACCGCCAAATAATTCACAACAATTAGGATCTTTTGGAAAGGAGCAAATAAATCCAGAATTTAATGATGTTATTAATGATGTCGTTAATAGCGAAGAACAAAAGGCAGTGAAGAAGAACTTGTCATTAATAGACCTGTTACTGTAGGTGACGTTCTTTCTGGCAAGATTACTCTTCCGAAGCCTGCTCCAAAAATTTTTAATGATTGTAAATTGTAGCTTTTTTACATATATGTGTATCTTATTAATTTGGTGGTCTTTTCCGATCTAATTTTTCATATGTTTCTAATAGCTACAGATAACAAAAAAAGTGATAAAAGACCGCCTCTGCCGACGAAAGGTAAGTTTTATAAAGTGCTATAATGAGAGAATCAGGATTGAGCTTATACTTTTATATCCCTATTTAGATTCTCAGCTGGAGTTTCTAGTTCTTCCTGACACTGGTAAATATCCTTTTGCAATGGATTTATTTAATAATTATTTTATTTTCTCATATCGGCGGATTTGCGGAATTGGTCCTGAATTGCTCTTAAATTGTATCTTCAAAGTTATCCGCAAAATGAACCCACCCAAAATTTTGTAGCAAATATACGTACATTTAAGAGATAAATAGATACAATAACGCCGTTATTGTATCTAAATTATCTTTATATTTGTTTGCTACAAAATTTTGGGTTCATTTTGCGGATAACAATTTAGGACTAACTCCGTAAATCCGCCATGATTTTTAATCATTTTTATGTTAATATTTCTATCAAATCGCCACATTCTTTTATCAAGTTGATAATGAAACTACTGATTAGGACAATCTTATTCAGATGGTAAGTTCATTGTCATATTTACCGTGATTGTTAATTAATCAGAAATTAACCATATTTCTCTCGGAATTAGAACATTTAAAATTAAAATGTGTAAAATTTCAGGAACGATAAGAAGTAACGATGTTTTAATCTGTTAATTTTTCCTATAATTCTATAATATTATAATTTACATATTATGTAAGATTATTCAGTAAAATATATGTAATCTTA